GTGGGTGTGTTAATCTAAATAATTACCAAAAAAATTATGTCTATTCTTTAGCTTTTACACTGAAAGGTAAAGGTTAGGTTTTCTTACTTCTTCTTACTCCACGCTTACGCCGGTTATTGTAGACGACGCTTTAGACGGAGACCCGGCCGTGAATGCGCCGTGGAAAATCCAGCGCGAGTGAAAGCTCGGCCCGCTGCACGTGCAGCCTCCAGCCCGACGCATACGACGGCTTAACGCTCAAATTAACGTCAGGTTAAACCTGACGTTATAATTAAAAACACTGCAGAGCCGCTTCCCTAGTCAATCCCCACGGTATCGAATATCAAAGTTTCTGTAGCTCTGCAATAAAGTTTTCGTATCGCACACCGACGACGTTAATTAATATTAAAAAAAAATTGAACGGACAAAATCTAAAATTGGATTTCAAACCGCTCGCATCATAAATTACCCGTGAGCGCCAACGGGAGCGGCGCTGATTTTCCAGCGGCATCTCGCTGCGCTTTAAGGGATCTCGACTTTTACATCTCGGATTTATCGTCCGTGAAAATGTGAGCAGGCTGAGAGACGCTGCTGGCAAATACCGGAGGGAAATCGAGGCCTGATCGGCACTCGAGTGCCTACCGCACAATCTCCCGCATTCCCGACGCGTTACGCTCGGTGGAAAAATAAGTGTTGTCCACCTACGGACTAGCCGGGCACGTAGGCGCGAACTCCGGTACCTCTTCGTCGTGGAAATAGAACAACGCCCCGTCGGTGTCGCGCGCGCACCCGAGAAGAACGCGGGCACTCTTCGAGGACGGTCGTGTCGCGTGGGGGCGCGACAACGAAAAATTCGCGGAAGTCTCGCGGCCAGACGTGTCGGGCCCGCAATTTCAATATCAGATCACAAGAGACCGTACGTAACGGCTAATGAGTAAGCGTCGCTTTACGTAACGCTAAGGAGACGTCTTGGAAAAACACGGAGCACACTTGTCCTTGTCCGTACACGCGAGAATTGAATATAAAGTTTTCTCCCCTCCCATCCCCTCGAGAAGATAATTGTCTCTGAGAAAATCCCGGGCCCTCGGCAGAACCTACCTCAAGGTACGAAACTCAGCTCGGGGCACGCGCGACGCCGGAAGACACGCGAAGACTCCCGAAACCTTCTCCCCCCCGACTAATCGTGACTAATCGGAGGGACCTATCGACGAGGACGGCGGGCGAGCTCGCGACGCGTGAAAATTCTAATCCGCACAGACGCAAGACCGCGTTGCGGCGCGCGCGGTACCGCCGAGCCAGCGTGAACTTACGCGACAGCGAGACGGAGGGGTCCTCCCCTCTTTCTCGCTCTCGTCTGCCCTTGAAACTTTTGGTCTACGTGCCTGACCCCCGTTTACCCGACACCGAACCGATCTGCCCTTGACGGCCGCGGCAGGGAAGGCCCGGCGACGGTAGCGCAGAAGGAAAGCGATGGAGGAGTTGCGGCGCGGAGGAGGCTTCAAACGAGACCCACGGATGGTGGGGTTCCCTAAACGAACCGTGCCGTTCGCTCCGTGGCGGAAAGGGAGAAGGGGAGACGACAGTGGAGGACACGGTCGCGGCGCCAGTGAACCGCACGGACGGACGGACGGACGCACGCCCATGGCCGATTGTTCTCCGATCTCACGAATTTCAAGGACGTCTACGCCAAACCGGCTAGGGGGGGACGGCAGCGACGGGGGCGGGGCGGGGGCGGGGATCGAGGTTTAGGAATCCTCTTTCTTCCTTTCGTTTCGTCTATTGTCCGCGTCTGTCTCCTCCCCGCGTCCGTCCCGCCCTCGGAAGGTAACTTTAATCGTTCGTTACAGTTTTTTTTTTCGCCAGCTGCCATTTAGAAAAATGGCATAGGAATGTCCCGGCAAATTATCTCGTATCGCTCGTACCTGGACCTCCGCCTCCGCAGTCGTAAGAAATGATCCGGTGACGTAGATCGAAATTTGGAAACGGAGACTCTACTCTGGGGAAAAAAAGGACAGCCACCCGTTTTGGGGCCCGCGATCAGCAATCGAATTATATGGAGTGTTCGTAACTCTAATAACTTTTACGAAGTTTACCCCGCGTAACTAAAAATCGCAATTAGCTATTCTATCTGTATCCAAGATCTCTAAGTAATACTAATCAATTATCTCAATTAGTTCTGTCGATGTTCAGTAACGCAAAGATAATTTTCACTTGAGAGACACTAACCGAAATGTTAAGTTGCTTAACTTACAAAAGAAACGGTCAAAATTTTTCCCAGAGTTACGAACGATCCAAATAATTCGATCGCTAGCCCAAAATGGGTTGCTAACTGTCCTTTTTTTTCCCAGAGTACGCGCGACACGAGGCAGCTCGTCGTCCAAGGTTTATTCAGCTTGTTTCACTTGGTTTAATCGAACAACAGTTTAATCGAATTGCCGAAGGACTCACTCGTTCGCGTAGCAACAAATTCGATAGCTTCCGTTGAGACAAGTGTCGAGTTGTCTGAGCCGACTGCGCGGAGCGGACGACGGAATTCGGTTATATCTCCAACTCCTTCCTTGGGCAAGGGAGCAAACGAGAGAAAGAGAGAGCACGCCTAAACACGTGATTTTGCTCCCCCTTCCACGTGCGACG